AATGTTAGATCAAAGTATGAATAATAACTAAAATAGTATATAAAAGATACTAAAGTAAAAATTCATAAAAACTATGTAGACATTAAAAAAAAAAACTAATAAAAATGACAAAAATGCAACAAAATTAGAATTTTTTTTAAATTAAAATGAAAGTGGTAAATATAATTAAAAATAGAAATAAATAATAAAAAATGTATCATTAATACTGCAATAAAAATGCAAGAACTATATAGACATTTCTTTGAAACAAAAACTAATAAAAAAGGAGAAAAACAGAACAAAATTGTGAAAAGAGAAAATATAATAAAAACTAATTTCAAAATATGAAAAAAAGTAAATAGTACATTAATGATACTGAATTAACACCTACACTTTTCTATGTTAAGATTTTGCACTACGCTTTTTTTTTTTTTTTACAACCAAAAACAACTGATAGTTGTGGACTATATTACTTTGAGGGATAATTTTTTTTAGTCCAGTCGTTCATATCAATAAAAGCAACTATTTATTGAACATTATGGTCTTTTTTGTGTTGTCAGTGCTGTTGTTTTAGAAAAGAAAAAGTACTATAAGGAGCCACTGTGCATAAAAACATAAGAATGCACAGCCTGTATTGGTTTATTGCTTTAATAAGTAACAAGCCTAAAGCCCAAACCATACTCTAAGAAAGTATGTGAATGCAGATGCTTCTAGCTACGCAAGTGCGATTTCATGCATCATTACATTTCAAAATGTGTTGCATTCTCTGCAAGGGGTGCTAGAGTGTAGCATAAAATATATGCATATGCGTATTCACATTAAAAAGTCTTATTTTAACATCACTTTTCTCTTTCAGAGGAACTACTATCATGGTGGAGCACCAGTTTGAGGAGAATCATGCTAAGCAAGTTAGATCTTGTTTAGAGTCATATTTGTGGACGTGCAATCGCCCACTTGAGTTTTGAAGTTTAGTACTGCAGGATTTATTTACAGATTTATTTCTTCTCTTTTAGACTGTTAAACTTTTTTAATAAGGGTTGCAGACATTAGTTTTAAGATTAATTACACATGTAAAAGCATTCAATTTAACAAACTTAATGCATTCACCTAATTTGACATTGCAACTACTGTTCTTTTATTCTTTTCTGTCTGTTCTGTACAAGCCCCCAATTATCGAGCTGTATTACTTTACAATTGCTAAGCTGTACCAACCTAGATTGATCTTTGGGCTACATGGAGATAACAGGTTAATAATGGAGCACGTCTGGCCTTTTGTCTGGGGCTCCAGCGGTGGTTGAACGTGAAGAGCTGCAGTGAGAGATTTCAAGAGGAACTCGTAGTTTAGCTGAGTGAGAGGCAATCAATGAGGGCTTGATTACCTACATAAAACTAGAGGTGTGAGGTGGTAGCAATGTGCCTTTTCCTGTGAACCTCTGTGCTCAAGGGCCTGTTGGCGGTATCTAGTAAATATGAGGGACTTGTAAGATCGGCATGAACATTGAATGTGTGTTTTGGCATGCAAATAGGCTTCTTGAGGTTCTGCGTTTCTGTATTATGTTCAGAATGGCATACTAGCATACTACATGTACTATCTCTGTAGTAAGTAGTATGCATGCACAGTATATAGATGTTCTATATGCATACATGCTTGAATGACCAGCTGCTTTTGCCAAAATATCTAGTATTCAGCAGAGCACTTTATCCCAAAATGCATTGTGCTCAATTTGACCTTCATTTCAGTGTGAAGAATGAACCCAAAGTAATATCAGTCACAATTTTTAACGTCTCTTTCTTGACACATTATTTGATCTGAACTGCTAAGTAAACATTAAAAATGCAAGATGCTCACTAATGCAACTCACACGCTATGTTTATAAGGTCATGTGACAACAGTAGTTTAAACAAATTGCAATATGAGTCATTCATGTTCTGCGATACATTTCGTAGCCTTTTAGATCTATGCTTTACTCAAGTTCAGGTATGTAAACATTTTAAAAATTATTTATCTTTAATATTTACTCAATGCCAAGAAAATGAACAAGATGTAAGTAAAGAAAACTAAACTAATATGAAATGATATCCATATTTAATTGTTTAAATCTGTTTAATATTTATGCAGTAGATTAAGACATAGCCTATTGTTTATTATAGTGACTTAAAGGTGATTTCAAGCTAGCTATGAAAGCATAAGATCCCACCCTCCCTGCAGATCACTCTCCAAAGCCCCGCCTCCTCCAAAACACATGAACGCGCACTGGCAGACCAGAGGCTAACCAGCAACATGATGAGAGGGTTGAATGCAGCGCTGTCAGATTACCTCATGTCTCATTGACCAGTGAGAAAATATAACAATACATAGCTCAGAATGTTATAATAATAACCCCTTCCATTCTCACTCAGTCTGCAATAGCGTAAAGCAACGCGCTGATGACATATTGTCTACGTGAACATGGTGTGCAGCAGGGGCGGTTTCTCCATTAGGGCGATTGGGCGACGCACCACCAAAGCGCGAAAGGGAGGGATTTTTTTCTTTCACATTCAACCACAGTGTTACGCTAGCTTTCACAGTCCAATCAGCGTCGAGTCGCATTTGTGTAGTACCGCCCCTTTTTGGGCGATTTCTGGCAGACTGAGAATCGCCCCGAGTGCTCTCATAGACTTCCATACAAAGATCTTTTTTTCGAACTGCAGGCACTGCAATGCAATCTCTTATGAGTTCCGGGAGGGCTAGCACTAACGTGCGTTCGTCATCATGCGTAACCTTAACTTGTGCAAGGATTGGTGGGAACAGTGGCATCCAATAATATTTAAAAACTATTTTGAATTTTAACAACAAGAAAAATTAAAAACTACTTTAATATCTTTATCAAATGTGAAAAAAGAAAATGAAAAAAAATATACCATTCAGTCGTCGTAGCAATAAGGATAAATTGGCAATTAAAGAATTAGGAACACCAAGACCAAATTTAAACATCAAACATGTATCTACAAAGGGCGGGAAGTCGTATAAACGGGTATTTTCTAGGACGTGGTATGAGCGAAAAAAATGGCTAGTGGGCTGCGAAGTAGCTAACGCTTTATTTTGTTCCATCCGGAGAGCGTGACGGACATCGCATGGACAACTACAGGTGTAATGTAATACAAGTGAGCAATGTGAT